ATTAACACTCTATTCTTAGGACAAAAGACGAGGAAAGAAGGAGAGCTCGAGAGAGCTGGGAACTAAATACAGGTCGTGCGCGCTAGCGCCTCGCTAAGCGAGCATGTGACATCCAGCCCTCGTGACCATAACCGTCACAACATCTTTGATACAAGTAACGAGTTCACTTCCAAGTGAACAACCCGATAGTCTTCTTCTTATCATAGCATACCAACCAGCGAACACCCAGCCAAGTTTAGTTAGCCAGTTTGAGTATTCGTTACACTTATATAAACGCGCGATTACCTACTCTAGTAAGATTTATAATATAAGCCCTTTATAACATACGTTTTGAAGGTTTCGGAGGTATAATTAAGGCTTATTATTTTAGATTAACTAGATTTAAAAGAGCTAATAATCGTACTATATAGAATAATAAACGTAGTGTTGTTAATAGAGGAGCATACTTGTATATAGGATATTTATCCCACCGAGTTACTTAGTAAGTACTCCCTTATTCACAATCAACCACCGCTATATAATGAGCTTTTGTTGTGGTTTGTTATAGTGTGAAACGAGTGGGGCAGTGGGTGTGGAATGAGGAATAGAATGTGGTAAGTAAATATTATAATATTATATAAGTTTATATAAGGGTCTGTGTTCCCTAGCCCTTCTTACTTCCCTACTACTACCGTTGTTACTAATACTTCACTTTGTGCTTATCGATAGTGTGAAAATAGCTAGACTAAAAAAAAGGGACGAGGCGGAGCGAAAGTTAGCGCCGGCGTAAACCAGAGGCAAAATAATCGTATCTGGGAATAGCTTCACTTTTTGTATGTTTGTTATGTAGAGATTGTACTTTAATTGCTCCTTCTTTTAGGTTGCTTTATATACTTTCTTAGGCGAGGGGTGTACTTGAATTAAAACCCAACTTTATATATTAATAAAAGTAACGAATAATTCGTATCCTAGAAGTGATCAAATAATACCGTCTAATCCACCATGCGTACTAATTTACGAATCACTGGTAGTGTTGATCAATTCGTCGATCTGAGGGTTACAATAGCACACATCCCAAGACAAGCGATTTGCAAACCAAACCCGACGGCTCGTTCCGTACCGGTGATATATTCCTACAACATCCCACGCGACTGGGTTTATACAAATGCATCGGTCGCATGACGGATGAAATCAAGATCCGACCGGTAGGCCATGAAAACGTGGCGCTTCACGCACCGACTTACGAGGATGTAGCTATGGCTCCGGGTGCGGGGGTGTTGGAGGAAGCAGTTTTATTTGGGAGTGGTCGTCCTGAGGCGGGGATTCTGCTTTTTGTGAAAGCGGGATGTGATGTGGATCGCGAGGGGCTTGTGGACAGTGTTTGGGAGGCTTTGGAGCGGGAGTTTGAGGAGGGAAGAGTGCCCGTTAAGGTGAGGAAGGAGATGCTGGTTGTTGTTTGTGGGGGGGTGGTACCGCGGACGACGAAGGGAAATTTTGTGCGTTCGGAGATTTATATTGAGTTTGAGGAGGATATTAATGAGGCTTATACTCTCGTGTAAACTATCAAAGAACGACTCTGGAGAATACAGTGTTCATAGAGCATGGTAGAAAAAGTATACATTCTACCTATCTAATGATGAATAAGAGAAGTGAAAAGCAGAATATACGATAAACGACAAAACTACCACTCACTTAACCTTTTTGCCACAGTACCAATAATCATATAACATTCACATTTTCAGATATATCTCCTATACAAATATAAACAAAATAAAACCAGTAGTACTTCTACCGTATTAGCCTATACATCAGTCCAAAAACACATCCTATTATTAAAGCCTGATATTTGCTACCTATTTATATATACCAGTCCTGTCTTCCCCCTTTCCTCTCAATGCAAACCTATTCCCTAAAGCGACACGAAAACTACCATTTATAACGGAAATCATATCTTTTTATAGTATAGGTACTACTCATAAAACAAACACTACTTTACTAATAACTCAGTACTTAGCTAGTAAGCAATACCTAGGTACCTAGTTCTTTTAACCCTTGGCCTAAGGATAGTATGGTCGCTTATATAGTATATAGTATAATATACGCTAGCTCTACCTCTCTCTCCTTACCCATGTATCTTAAGCTCCCGCGTACTCTGATAGCTAAAAGTATCTAAACATTAACCCTGTAGACCTTACACTTTATTGATTTACCGTACATTTATAAGTATACCGCGCTTGACTAAGGAATTCCCCCTTACCTTTTAACCTAACCCCACCCAACCTCACCCCCTTCCCCTCCTAACTCACACTCAACACACGCGTTCATTTCCGCAGTTCATTCAAGCAAGTCATTTCATTTCATTGATCCGCTTACTTCCCGCCAACAAAACAAAAACACAAACAAAAACACGAACAAAAACACAAACACAAACACAACATCCAGTGGATAAACGAATAAATAAAAAAATAAATTCACCAACACCCCGCTGTACAACTTTTCAGCAGCGTGATTCCACTCCCCCAACAACCTCACCAGCCACGAAAGGAGAATAAGAACTAGGAAATAATGTGAAAGAGGAGATTGCTGCATCTGAGATGGAGATTTTGAAAGGGGTGATTGAGGAATCCATGGTTGAGAGCTAGAGGATCAGCCAGAATTAGGTTGTTAGTTGTAGAGTGTGATAGTAACGTATTTGTTGTACTTGTAGTGATAATTTGAAGGAAAATACTACATGTACGATACTGTACTGTATTTATCTAAAACTTAGACTCCCAAAAATAAATAGTCTTAACAATCACTTCACCCTATCTTCCTCTTGCTAAAAAACTATATACAAAACCATCAAGCATCAAGCATCACAACACAACACAAAGAACAGCCCCCTCCCCCTTCCCTCTCTCCCCTTCTCCCCTCCTCCCCTCCTCTCGCCCAAGCTAAGAACTAAAAGTAAAAGTAACAATCTGAATTGCTGTAACTACGACTACTACTCAGCTAGCTCGGTCTCCTTCCTTCCTTCCTAACTATCATCCCCCCACCCGTCCATCCATCCATCCCCTCATCCCCTCGAAAAAAAACGTCTCAAAATTGGTATCCCCAAACTCCAAATGCAAATGCAAATCTACCATACCAAACAAAAGACGCCATCCACCCAGTTGAACCAGACTTGACCACCGCCTTCGATGAAGCGATGATGATGACGACGGAAAAGACGCCATGCTCCCCTCCCACCCACTGCCCACCCGCTCGCTTTTCTGCAGAAGGAAGAAGGAAAAGGAAAGGAAAATGAAAAATGTACAGTACAAAAAGGGTGTTCGGTATCAACACCACGAACCCCCTCCTATCCACCCTTCAAATGAATCAAGACCAACCACTCCAATCAACTCAATCACCACACTACATCACCCATTTTGAATCCCCAACCAACCTATCTTCCATCAACAAACAACCAACCAATCCGTTACACAAGAAAAAAGGATGACAATTGATGAATCAATAGTCATCAGGAGAGATGTAATCAGGATCATACTCATACTCTTCACTACTGACGTCTCCTTTCGTCCTCCCTTGATCGTCGTCCTCGTCATACTTCTCATTCACATCCGCCCATCCACAATCCCATCGTCGGCCTGAACTCTCACCACCCATTCTCAAATCTCTCGCGCGATCGCCCTCACGCCACACTCGAACAACATAGTCATCACCAACAGTGATCAGCTCTCCCTCCGTGTTCCAGGTCAACGATCCCACCTCGCGATCATGACCACGTATCAACGCCGAGCCGTTATCAGAAATAGGAATATCATAGGTAAATCGGTTCGGCTTCGACTTTGTCCACTTAGGCCACGGCGCTACGCCGAAATCACTCGGGCTGTAAAGATCACTCTTTTGATCTGGAAGATAACGCTCATCAGTAGGGAACAGAACTGCCGAGCCGTTGCTGCTGCCAACTGCCAAAAGCTCGCTCTTGCCGTTTTGCGCCTTGCGAATTGCGGATTTGACGTAGAACGATGTGGCTTGTAAATTCTTGTGGCGATATCCATAAAGGGGTCCTAATCCTTCTTGCATAGGTCGTTGGGATTTTGGGCGGCGTCCGCTTCCGTTTTGGAGTTCTGGGGCTTGTCCAAGAACGAGATGGGCTGTGGAGTAAGCATATACAACGTTGTCTTTACAAAGAGTATATAGCCTGGTGCCAGCGGTATTGATACTCATAGACGTGATGCCGTAATGGCGGAATCTGTTGTGGTTTTCGGGTGTTCGAGTCTGGGAAATAGCGGTTGGAACTTGTCGTCTGTTTGAGAGAGAACGAATATCCCACAATCTTACAGAAGCATCGGCCTCGGAACCAGTTAAAATAAAGTTCTCTTGTCCCTCGGGTAGAAAGTGAATAGCGGTTACAGAAACGTCGCCGTGTCTTCGAGGGGGTTCGCCACGTGAAGGTGCATCGGTAGTACTGTCAGCTTCAAGTTCAGTTTGGTCGGCTGATGAATTGTGAGCACTCTCGATGCTGTTAATGGCGCGAGCATACAAAACATCTCTGGAAGTCGACCGAGTCGGTCTATTGTTATTGTAAGGGTCCACAGGGACGTGGTAAGATACTTCAGGACCTTCCATACCCTTGCATCTTAAGTCCCAAATTTGAACACTCCCGTCCCGACTCGACGTAGCCAGGATGCTATTATTATTCGAACCAGGTTGAAATCGTACTTGCTTTAGCGACGCGGAGTGGTTTCCGAGAATGGCGAGGGTTTGTTGGGTACTCATATCTACAACTCGAGCTGATGAGTCTCCCGAAGCCGTGGCTAGTAATGAATCGTCGTTCGAGAATGCCATATCGATAATAGCATTAGTGTGTACACGAAAGGCGAGATGGGCGTCCATGAAAATCGGCTTTCCATCTTTTGCCGACTCCAGGAGCCTAACTCGTCCTTGTTCATCTCCAACCGCAACTAAAGTATTTGCTAGGCCAAGTCAGTATTGCAAGTGCATAGAGGATTACCCGAAGTGCTTACTGTTAAGGCTTGCTGTACAGAATGGTATGCACATAACACTAGGCCGTGCAATACTACGGCAGTGATGAGTCTCGATTGGCGTGCTGTAAAATGAAGCTGTCTCATTTCGCCAGTCTAATCAATGTTAGAAAAAAAAAAATTGGGGAAAGAATACCGATTACCGTTCATGGGACATTCAATTCGTTGGCGGTTGCGTCGAGGGGGGTTCGCGAAACCTAGTTGTAATCGTCGTCCATTATTACCGCACTCGATTAGTCGACCCCAGAGTCTCTTTTGAAGCGGTTGAATGAACCATCTGTGCTTGTCGGCTTTTGGCTTTGGCGCGAAGAAGGATGCTCGTTCGTATGGCGATGATCGCATCAGAGTTTGTTGAGGTGCGATTGTTGCTGTTGAAGTGAGGCTTCTTTCACTTTTGTAACCTGGAGATGATTCGGTTGTATTGAGGAGCTTGCGTCTCTTTAGATCGCGCGGAAAGTCTTGAGGGTCGGAATCCTGGCCTTCATCTTCATCTTCATCGTCATCTTCATCTTCGTCTTCGTCTTCATCTTCGTCTTCGTCTTCATCTTCACCGTCAGCTTCACCTTGATCGTCGGGCTGAGCTAGATCGGGATCGGGATCGGGATCGGGTTCTGCGACATCTTGAGTAGTGGCAGTGATATCGTCGAGGGCATGTCGTTCGGCAGAATTGTTTTGAGTGGCAGAAGAGCTCGGCGCGAAGAATCTTCTAAATCTGCGAGGGGTAATGGAAGGATTGGCTTTTGCTTTTCTGGGGCGATGAGGGGGCGTTGGTGGAGGAGTAGAAGCTTGATTCGATTGTGGTCGCGATTGCGACTGCGACTCCGATTGCGATTGCGCTGGTAGATCAGAGGTTGTCGCTGGCGGCGGTGGTGAGGATGCGATCTCGAAGGTAACGTTTCGAGAAGACATTTTCAATGGAATTGCCTGGTCTGGCGGAATTGGAAGTGTAGGACTGCGGATCTAGTACATTTTCGATCGTTGCGTGGCTGGCGTAGCTATCGTACAGGTGCACCCGTAGAGAGAGCAAATGTGGTGGAGATTGAAGATGATGTTGAAGTGGGACTGGTTGGTGAGGGGATTGGGAGAAGGTCGGCCGGCCTTGGAGCTTCAAACCCTTTTGCAAGGGCCGCGTTGACGCGAAGCACTTAAACCACGCGTCGTTAAAGCGGCACGCACCGCCACTGCGGCACTGCCACTGCTTCAAGCTGGTAGCAAGTGGAATGGTAGGTTGGCAGCGTTCAGATGGAATATTCAATATGATTTATTTGCCCTTATTAGAAACTTTGACTTAAATCTCTCGCTGAATTTTTTGTATGATTTTATATCAATTACTCTTACCTACTATGGAGGGAATTGGAGCTAAAAACCCTCAAGCTGGGGAAGCTTTGAAGCTTTTCGTTTTTGGGGCCGCTTTACATCTAAGATCTCCTTATGTCAGCTCCTAGATGGACCCTATCACAATTTTAGTGGTGACCCGGCCTGTACCACCCCGAACCCCAGGGCCAAAGTCCAGAGTCCAGACACCCCACCTATCTACAGCCTTCCAGGTTCCTTTGAGGCTGCCTGGTGGAGTGAGGTGTTATTAGCAGGAGGACCTCGGGGTCGGGTCGGGGCCGGGTCATCGGGGGAAAAACCGGCAAAGATCTCCACGCTTATCGATATCTTAGAGGCTTGGCATTCCGGTGGAAAGATATTTTTCTTTCCAGGTGGTGGTGGGTTTCATTGCGACGAACCACCTCCAAACCTCTTCACCCGACCACACCAATTCCACCCACGCCCCCGCCATGGGTATCCAGAAGAAGCACGGCAAAGGCCGTCTTGATAAGTGGTATAAATTGGCCAAAGAGAAGGGATATCGAGCCAGAGCTGCCTTCAAATTGATCCAGCTGAACAAGAAGTATGGCTTTCTGGAAAAGACCAAAGTTCTGCTGGATCTTTGCGCTGCGCCAGGAGTACGTTCATCGATTCTATTTCAAGATAAAACCTAATAATAGCGCAGTCATGGTGTCAAGTAGCAGCAGAGGTTATGCCTCCCAGCAGTCTCATCGTCGGTGTCGATTTGTCCCCAATCAAAGCAATTCCACGAGTCATTACTTTCCAAAGCGACATCACCACCGATAAATGTCGCGCAACAATCCGACAACATCTCAAAACTTGGAAAGCCGATACGGTTCTTCACGATGGAGCTCCGAATGTTGGTACAGCTTGGGTACAGGATTCTTTCAACCAAGCCGAATTGGCTCTCCAAGCTATGAAATTGGCCACCGAGTTCTTGGTAGAAGGAGGAACCTTCGTCACCAAGGTATTCAGATCCAAGGATTACAACAGTTTATTGTGGGTGTTCAACCAGCTCTTCACGAAAGTCGAAGCTACCAAACCACCCTCGTCGAGAAACGTTTCTGCCGAAATTTTCGTCGTCTGCCAGGGATTTAAAGCGCCAAAGCGAATTGACCCGAAATTTTTGGACCCACGATCAGTTTTTGCTGAGTTGTCGGATCCCACACCAAACAATGAGGCCAAGGTTTTCAACCCAGAGATTAAGAAGAGGAAAAGAGATGGTTATGAGGATGGAAACATGACCCAGTACAAGGAAGTTGCGGCTAGCGAATTTATCCAGACAACCGATCCCATAGCTATTCTTGGAAGTCTGAATAAACTTACTTTCGAGCAACCACCAAATGGAGATGTCGCATTGGCTGCTCTAGATAAATTGCCAGAAACTACCCAGGAAATCAGGGATTGTTGTGCTGACTTAAGGGTGTTGGGAAGGAAAGAGTTTAGAAGTTTGTTGAAATGGCGATTGAAGGTGCGCGAAATATTTGGCTTTGCAACAAAAAAGACTGTCAAACCAGCGGAAGAAGAGGTGGCCGAAGTGGAGTCAATGGATGAGGAGTTGAAAATCCAAGAAAGACTACAAGAATTAACCGACAGAGAAAAGGGTCGTAGAAAACGAGAGAGGAGAAAGGAAAATGAAAAGAAGCAAAAGGAAATTATTCGCATGCAACTTCACATGGTTGCGCCAACAGAAATTGGTCTTGAGCAATCCGGTCCGAATGGAGATAATTCCATGTTCGGTCTCAAGGCAGTCGACAAGACTGGCTCAGTCGATAAGATCGCGAAAGGAAAGATGGTCATGCTTAAAGACTCCGATCATCGGCAAGATCATGATAGTGGACTTGGGTCCGAAGAGACTGATGAGGAGAGTGACGAAGAACAAGACAAATTAGACCGAGAGTTGGATTCTATGTACGATCAATACCAAGAGCGAAAAGCGAGCTCTGACGCAAAATTCCGAGCAAAAAAGGCGAGAAAGGAGCACGAGGACGGGGATTGGGAGGGCTTTTCTGCAGATAATCAGGACAGCGATGATGATGAACTGGAAGGAGACAGCAGTGATGAATCTTCGGATGATGAAACGGAATCAAAACGTCCTCTATTAACAGACTTGGAGATTGCTGAAAAGAAATCAGGAGGTCTCTCTCGCAGAGCAGCACAGTTCTTCGATCAGGATATCTTCAAGGACATTGGAGGTATACCTGAGGAAGAATCGGAATCGGAACTGGAAGAAGGAGAAGAGGAGATCGCCGCTGACTTGGACGCTCTTGACGTGGTCATGGAAGAAGCAGCTGGCATCGAACCTGATTCTGACTCTGATATGCCAGATGAAGTGGAAGAGGCGGAATCATCAGAAGACGACGATGGGTTTGAGATTGTAAAGAACGATCCAAAAGACAATCCTTGGGAAGATGAACCCCGGAAGGATGGAAGGCTTGGTATGTTACATTTCAACACATTTTCACTACTAAAAACTAACGGTTTATGCAGACATCGACATTATAACAGCGGAAGCTATGACCCTCGCTCAAGCAATCGCCTCAGGGAAGAAGACAACAGCCGATCTGATCGACGAGAACTTCACAAAACATACCCTCAAAGACCGCGATGGCCTTCCAGAATGGTTCCTCGACGACGAAGGGAAACACGATAAACCTCATCGACCGATTACCGCCGCTGGTGCCGCAGCCATCAAAGAAAAACTCCGCGCCCTCAACGCACGCCCAATCAAGAAGGTCCGCGAAGCCAAGGACAGAAAGAAGTTCCACGCTGCTCAGCGACTTGAAAAACTGCGCAAGAAATCCGCCTTGTTGCAAGACGAGGAGGGTATGACGGAGAAGGAGAAAGCGAGCAGTATTATGAAGCTGATGAGTAAGGCGGCGAAGAAGAAGCCAAAGCGGGAGGTCAAGGTTGTGGTTGCGAGGGGAGGTAATAGGGGTATCGCTGGTAGACCGAGAGGTGTGAAGGGGAAGTATAAGATAGTTGATGCGAGGTTGAAGAAGGACGTTAGGGGAGAGAAGAGGGCAGCTAAGAAGAGGAAGTGAAGTGTTGTGAGCGCTGGGTTTTTGTAAGTGGTAATGGGATTTTGATACCAACCTGTTTTATTGATACAATTCTTTTGCTCATCGTGGTTTATCATCTTACCCTTCGTTACCCCGTCAATCTTGCAACTGTAACTTTTCCATCCCCCTTTCTTAGCTCCAAAAAACTCTTCTGCGTTCATCTGGCGAAGAAAGACTCAAATGACAGCGTGGCGGAGCGGATAAACTTCTCGGATGTCAGCTCCTCCGTCTGAACTCGCCCGTCCCCATTATTCTTTCCTTTTGTTGAGGATAGCAAGAGCCTTATTCGGCCATATGATGTTTACCTTTTTTTCCCCGGGAGGATGTGGTTCCGGATTTTGTTTGTTTCTTTGTTTTTCTGGTGGTGGTGGTGGCGCTTTTGATGGGGACTTTGATGGGGAGCTGTCATTGGACGGGGAATACCCAGATTCGGTAGATGGGCTGGATTGGTGGGGAAGGGGCAAGTAGCACGATACCTCGACGTAAAGGTCCTAGGATCATTGGAAGTCTACTCACTTCACCTTGAGGAAAGATGAGAAGCGGAGATGTGGAGATAGATATCTATATCGCATCATCGCCACCGGGAGGGAGTCATGACCTTGACAACGGCGGTTCATGATTCTCGTTCATTATAAGACGATGGTCGTCATCTCATGAGAACTTTTTGATAGAAGCTCTCTCACTTGACATGGCTTAGCGCTATGGAGCTGTCAAAATGCGGTTCATGGGAATTTCCCTCGTGTGCGTCAATCGGTTTCTCACTAACGGAACATAGCTCGGCAACTGACGAGCCGGCCAGGAACGTAGCTGACTTATTTGTCAATACCTATCAAGGTCTTAGTCGCTGCTTTGGGCAACACACAACCGAGAAAATATGCCACTCGTCACTATGTCACTCTTACATATGGCTAGAAACGGTGTTGAGAAGTCTCAATTGGATCGCGGCTTCCTCCATTCCGGTTGAGATCAAGTGCAGAGCAGGTTTTCACGATGCTCAGCCTTTATCTCAGGAAGGGTTAGGTATGTATGTTGTCATGGCTCCTTCCTTAGTATATTTGCGTAGAAGTCCCTATTCTATATAGCACACTTTTGCTCTCTTCATAAGTCCTTTTTCCTCCCTCATACTCAACACGCATCTTGGCTTCACACACTCCATACACTCAATCTTTGGCTCACTGCTCTTGGCTGTTCACTCACTTGGAAACAACATCTTTTCAATCATCCACCATGCGTTTCTCCACTTCCGCTACTCTGGCTCTGGCCACGCTCGCTGTTGCTCGTCCGCAGATTGTTAAGAAACAGGTGCCGAGGAATATTGATCCTGCGATCTTGCAGTATGCATTGACTGTGTGTATCACTTCATCTTTATGTCAACAACAGAACCTGACAAGATACAGCTTGAGCATCTCGAGAACGCCTTTTACAAGAGAGCTCTCTCGTTGTGGGATCAGAAATCTTTTGTTGACGCCGGCTTCTCCCCTGCTTTTCACGATCAATTGAAATATATTGCTCATGACGAAGAGGGACATGTTGTTTATCTTGCAGCTGGTATTTCTTCTCTTCTTTTCCACCCAGTTTGCTGGAACTAATTCATGCAGGTCTCAAGGCTGCTGGAGCTATGCCTGTCGAAGCTTGTCAATACACCTTCCCCATGACAGATCCAAAGTCATTCGTCAAGATGGCTTCCGTTATCGAAGGTCTTGGTGTCAGTGCATACCTTGGAGCAGCAGCAGATATCACCTCAAAGGCATACTTGACAGCAGCCGGTAGCATCTTGGTGACAGAAACTCTTCACGTACGACTATTTCCCCTGAAATGATGATTCAACTGTTGACAGCTTAACAGCAATCCGCCACTCGCGGTGCCAGTGGTGAAATACCCATGGCTAACGTTTTTGGTACTCCTCTTGGTCTCAACGCAGTTTACACCATCGCGAGTCAATTCATTTCCGAGTGTCCAACGACAAACGCTGCACTCCCAGTCATGGCCTACCCAGAGCTTGTCACTGTTACAGCTGGTGCTGTAGCTACAAATGCAATTGTCGACCTTCTGCCATCCGTGACACTCAATGGGACGTATTACACGACCTTCGTGTCTGGGCTTGACATCATCCCAACCACACCCAAGGGAATTCTCGATGGTATGATTCAAGCCATTGTCCCTTCTGCCGTTCAGGGCCAGAGCTATGTCTTCTTGACCAAAGATAATTCTGGGAATTTGACGGATTCGAATATCATCGCGGGTAAGTTGCAGTTATTTCCTCAGTCTCGAGCCATCTGGATAGGGGTTAATGTACAGCAGGACCTGCCATCATCGAAGTCACGCCTAATTCACCAACCTTCAACCTCACCATAACCAGATAAACCAATGTGACAAAACACTGACAGCATTGTGCATTTTCAGAGATTTTTTTGGAAGAATGAAATATCACGTCTCTCGCTTTGAAGGAAAAAGAAAAAAAATAATGGATTGTGCGTGGAAGCAATTTTGGTACCTTTTGGACGTTTATGAAGAATCATTTCGGAAGACTTTGTCTTTGTGTTTCTTGGAAGGGATATTGTTGTTTTTGTTTTGTACGATACGATACGAGTAGTAGATGATACCTAATTGTAATAAATTTATTTGAAGACACTTGGATTAGCATGGTTCGAGAGATGTGAAGTGTAAGACTTACTTTAGAAATCAGCCATGATTCGTAACGCAGTATTCTAGCGTATGAAATTGAAGCTTGCGCCCTAAGATTACCGTACTGTAAGTATACCTCATGGCAAGACCGGTATTTTTAAAGAGTTAAGAACCTTGGTTTTTCTTAGTTACATGCTACCTAGTCTAGATTACCTTTCAAGGATTTAGATAAATGCTAATAGTTGAAAAGGCAAGTGATGCTAAATATGCTTATTTGTCAAAACTTAAAAAGCCTACCGGCTACTTAGGGGGGAGCAGATATTGCAAAGATTAGAGTGTATACTCCGTAACGGTATACAAATTTACGAAAGGTAGTTTCTGCTAGTTTCCCAGAGGTGGAACTGGTTTTGATTTGCATATGGGGGGTGTTCAGGAAACAGTTATTGGAAGTTGAACTTTGACGGTACTGTAGGGGGGTATATTCAGCATGAATCATATACACCTGTGGAAAATTGATGCAGTCAGACTAGTAAGTAACAACATATAATAGTTAGAGCTCAAATCTATCTAAAGTAGACGTAATATAAACAAGAATAAAACAGGATGTAGTTTAATGCCTCCTACCAGATTACGCAAGCTCCGTGAAGATGCCCAAAGGGTCTATGGTGCATATTTAAATCCTTCTTTCCCCTCCAAAATCTTTTTACCCTCATCGGCCAGTTGATTCTCCTTCGTAAAGAAATATGACATATAGGACATAATAACAATATACAGAAATTGCATGCCAATCGTAGCCCACATTCCCGGGGTATATTTCGGCGCATCCTGGGTTCTAAATATCACACTCCCACAAACACCACCAGCTGCACCAGCACTGATCATGGCAGCAGCGACGACACCCTTTTTCGCTAGACTCGCCGTCTGATTCTGGCCGTAGGTGAGAGTCGCAGGAATATTGGCCTGCGAGCCAAAAGCGGCGAGGAAAAGGCCGAAGTATCTCACATAGGGAGGTTCAGCGTATAGGATGATGAGGAAACCGACAATAGTTATAAGAGCCTGAGCGTTGATGATGGGCCAACGCTTCCGGGTCTTATCAGATACCCATGCCATCGCAATAGAAGCTATGATGGTAAAGATGATAGGCGGAGACCCTAGCAATTGTGCTTTGGTATAGCTAAAGCCCAGGCCCTGTCTAAGAATGATTGGACTGAAGAATGCAAGCGAGTAAACAGTGGAAGCGGCGATGAAATAAGCCAGCATATACACCCACAACTTCCAGTCTAGTAGCATTTTTAATGTTTCTATGACCGATAGGTGGACGACCTCTTCTGCCTCTTTGTCGATCTTGATTCTGTTGAGAGCGATATGCTTCTGACGAGAGTTCAGGAAGTTGACTCGCTCAGGGAACTCGATGAGGAAGAATGGCGAAGTAAGGCCTGCAACGATCGTAGCAATGCCCTCAATAATGAAAATCCAACGCCAGCCTTGTTGATATTTTCCATTGCCGACGGAGATCATCGATAGTGCGTAAGCCAAGATGGGACCGAAGGCACCTGCAATGAGCGAAGACATATAGAATATGGAAATACGGCGGCCCGTCTCGAATTGGCTGTACCAGGACCCAATGATATAGATCGCTCCGGGAAACAGACCAGCTTCGAAGACTCCAAGAAGAGCACGTAGCACGGCGAGAACGCTCCAATGTTCGATAAACCCCATTCCAAGGACGCAAACGCCCCAGGCGATGATCAGAAAGGTTAACCAGAGACGAGCACCAATACGGCGAATCACATAGTTTGACGGGATCTCAAGAAGACCGTATCCGATAAAGAAGACCAGCAAGCAGAGGTTGTAGCGAGCTCCCGTTAGGTGGAGGTCGACGTTCATATTGGCTATGTAAGCCGAGCTGATGTTGGTACGGTCAAGAAGCGAAAGGCCAAAAACGAGGCAAAGCATGGGAAAGACTCGCAAGTCGACTTTCCGCCTGGATGCAGTTAGCACAATGTCCAATCAAAAAGGGGCGATTGTCGACATGACTTACACAACGATTTTTTCCTCCTCTGATGTCCAGTCGCCAGCGGTTGGAACATCACTTTCCATGTCGTTGGCTCCATTTTCCGAACTCGAGGAAACCTGTAGCTCTTTCACCGAAAATATTTCTTGCTGGATCTGGGTGCCGGTCATGTTGGCACAAAGACTACGAGACGAGGAGATCAAGAGTCGTTTGCCGGAAACATTTCTGGGGCCTCTACTTGCTTTTGTGCTTTCACATTTTCGTTTATAACGGCGGAACTCAAAATCTCATATTTAACTGCGCCAAAATCCGAAAAGCCTTCTCTTTGAAATCCAGAGTCTTATCTAGTACATAGTGTGAGTCACGACTGGTTCACTACCCCGCAAAAGTCAAAGTTATAGGAATTCAAGAATACCAAGAGAGACAAGAAAGGAATTTCATGGGGCAGGATTCTTCCGAGACCTTCCGAGCTCGTTTAAGAGCTCTGCACAAGGGTATCCCGTTCAATGTTCACGACTGTGCGTTTCTTCTCCACTCTAACAAGACGAAAATCCTCTCGAGTTGCCTGTTCAAGGGATCACGAGGTTGTCATAGTAATCGAAGCAGTCCCGAAATGCTATAGAAACTTTTCAGCATTGGTGTGAACATCCACGCAACTCCCCAGACTGAGCGTCATTTGCCCTTGGTAATTTTAGAGGACCGTTTTTGTGGTAGCAATGGTTTTTGATTGAGAAACCCGTGCTAATCACGAGCGTGGTAGGTAGGTAATGTGTTTGTCTCTGCAACAATTGCGTGTCCGCTCCTTTTACACCAGCAGGGACCGTAGCCTCCCTCTACAGCACAGCGGACCTTTTCGTTCTAGACTCAACATGCTTCGCCTTGTTTTATACCCCTACAAAAGATGCTCTTATGTCAATTTGAATCTTCCACGGACATTTTGCGTATCTCCATGTTCTTCGGGGTATGACTCTGATAGGGCTGTTTTGACTCGTGAAAAAGCATTGCAATTATTGTCTCATGATCGGCGTTCTTACCCACAATGAAGTGAGGCATGACCGCTTGGATATCCGACGCAAGAACTCTATTTGCAGAGGCTCTAAGGGTGCCAGGGTGGAAACCTCAAATTATATTACGCCTCGGCCCTCGGCTCCGATCTTTAACCAAATCAAGACAACTTTCGATCATTAAGGGGAGATGGTCACATCCGCTTCCCCTCTGATGCGTTTCTCTATTCAAAGACAGTTGATTTGGATGTTTCGGATCTAGTGAGTCTATATGATCAGTTTACTCTATTGGTGAAGAGTAAGAAAATAGCTACAGGTCCAGTAGTCGGTTGGTTGTATAGCACTAGTGTCTAGCAAGGTAAGTTAATCGGACCAATCTCTAGTAATTTACGTAAAAACTATCAGCTTTTAGACCCTTATCTTCTTTAAAAGTATATCTCCTAGAGTAATAATTTCAAGATACAGATGTCGTTGATAGCCTACTTTCGGTTAAGATATTTCCTGAGCTCCCGAAAGATTCCGGCCTTGTCGTTAGTATTAAGAAGATCTATAAACGCTAAAAAGGTTACAATAGAGGAGGAAAATAGAAAGCATAAAAATATATGTATATGTAATGTCAGAAGACGAGGGCACAATGTGGAATGGATAAGCTGGAATACAGGGAGAAGCTAGCTAAGGGGCGAGCAGGGCTCTAATATAGGACGACCCTGACCGAGTGGAAGGCTCTAGAGTACTAGGCATCCACCTAGGCAACCAGGACAGGGGGTCAGGCAGCGAAGACGGAAGTCTCGGCTAGAATCATATCGTAACATCTAAGGTTCATGGCCACTCCAGGATAGAGGGCTGTTAATAATATGCTTAGATATATTAACAAACAGTTCTTCTATAACACATGATAGCCAAGGGAGAGAGTTTATGACCAACTTTATTTCTATAGATACGACATCCTAAATTAACGACAATTAGACCAAGTAACAAAATCGCAAATCGTTAAAGTCACTTTATATAGTAGGAAGAGCGAGAGAACTAAGTCGCTCTATTAAAATTTACCTTACTTATCTAATTAAGGGTAAGGACTTTAGACGATAAATCTCCGTCCGTGCTAAAATAATGCAGGCTTTACATGCCACTTCTACAAAAACAGCTCCGTCAAGTGGCATTGAACGCGTTGAACCTATAACGTCGTCTTCGCCGGTCGTGCTAAAAGGTGCTGTCCCAAAGTAGGATACATTAAAGACTAGGAGAAATGAGCGAGCTGTGGCTAGGAAAGCAAGTGGGCTGTATAGAAACATGAATGCAAGATTTCACCGACATCAAACGCTGAGGCGCCGTAATCGCTAGCGTGGTACTATTCCGGAAGGCAAGATTCTCACGGCGCGTACAAGACTGTATAGTAGTGTTTGCAGTACAAAATGGGGGATGCGTAGCCTGGGTTGATGAAGCAAAGAAGAATAGACAGATATACCACACGGAGAAAGCCCCCCGCAACTAGGTAAACAGAGACATCTTTAAAAGAGAGAAGTAGGTTCTTTGGCGACAGAAGCCAAATAGGGGGGAAAAGAAAAGCTGAGGTCCACACGACTTAAATTTATATCCAAAAGAGCTCTATCACTATCTGTCTGTGCCCCTCGATTTTACGCCACTCCACCTAATTTGACATCACAGGTGTAGTTCCATCCCAATCCTTCTTCTCGGCTGCATCAACCAAGAACTCGGCTGTGCTCCGCCTGTTCATTCCAGCAAAGCTGCTGATACCACGGCCGGTATCTCCATAAAAGTGAATTGGGGCTGCAGGGCCATCTGTGAGTCGAGTCGGGCGTGCAAACACGAAATCCAACCCACTTTCTCTGAGAACGGTCTCAGCAGACTCGTGATCTTTGTACGAGAACGACATGTTCGACTTCTTCACCATCACTCGCATCACAAAGAAGAGCGTGGGGAAGGAGTTGCCAACACCATGAGCTTGCAAATCCACGACCTTTTTGACGCCGGTGGCCTTCGAGGCTGTGACAAGAGTTTTCATTGACTGCGTCATCAATTGTGGTGGCGATACCATCGCAGCGAATGGGTTGTCGCTCTTGCGGGCGGTGTTCAGAGTTACAATGGTAGCATTTGTTGGAGTACTGGGAGCTGCCGCGAGAGCCTTTTCGATATCTAGAGGCTCAAACCGGGTCCCTTCAACTAACGTCAGACCATCACGTGGGGTGACCTTGCTACGGTCGCGAACGAGCGCGGTGACAGTATGTCCTGAGTTAGAGTTAGCAGTTGCCAGGACATGAGCGACGATATGGGTGGCTACCACGACGCAGTACTTCTTCCAGCACGAGAGTGCCAGTTCGGCCAGAAGCCCCAATAAGTAGAAAATACATGATGCGAATGAATGGAGAGAATATGAAGGTAGCGATGAGAAGAGGTAGATGAGGTTGTGTGTGTTTCGAAGACGATTGGTGCTGGGCGGTGATTTGTTTTTGTTGGTTGCGGTACTTGTAAGATTACCCTGTAAGCGAGAGCGTTGATGCATCTACTGACAGGGGTCTGCATTAAGGCATGCTGATAGCGCCAATAGCATGCTACAGTATCTTGGGACTAAACGAAATAAGGAATATTTATTAGTTATAGAGTAAATGGAATTTGAGAAACTTATAGGTAAGTGTGAAGTGATATAAGGAGCCTTTACTAAAAGAGCGGCTCTGTACCTTTCCATCTATCCACTCTCTTCTCACGAACGTACAGGTTAGGAAGGATGTCTCTGGTTGGCTAGAAGAAAGTTCTCGAGCTCCTGAAAATATAATTTTACGGTGCGGCGACGTCATGAAAGTGCGATAAGTTTATGTTTGAAATTTCTACTTCTGCTCTTCGATCCAATTCATCGTTAAACAAATTTCGGCGCGGTTGGTGTAATGTTGTGATAAATTATAACCCCAATCTCCCAAGTTCTATACGTCTATGCTCCTGTTATAGGAATACTTAATCCGAGATAGTGCGTTGGTTAGATTTAAATAATGCTCTCGTTGGGGTTGAGGGAGGGGGAAGGTATACCTGTCATTGGTTCACGAACGCCGAGAAATCCTCGCTTAATTCTCCTATTTCAAGCCCACCGACAGATTTCTTAGGAGTTTACAGCTTCAGAAAACTGCGTTTCAAGCTGCTCAAATTCAAACACGTTTTCTCCCGCATAGCAATTGTTGGTGGTAAGTTTTTCAAAGCCCTGCCAAGACGCAAATACTGATAAACTCGTTAGCTGGACCGGTAGGATTGACTCTTGCGCGGAGTTTACAGCGCCATGGGCTCCCGTGCAAAATATTCGAGCGCGATGTTGACCGATCTATCCGCCGTAAGAGTGGCTCGTTAGACATTCATGAAAATTCAGGACAGCAAGCTTTGCGCGAAGTGGGTTTGTATGAGGATTTCCTCGCCCGCGCCCGACCTGAAGTCGAGGTGCTTAAGATCTTCAATCCACATGGAGAGCTTTTGATGGACGAAGAAAAGAATAGTGGCAGTACACATCCGCAATGGGCGCCCTGAGATTGACCGTTATGTCCTCCGAGACTTATTAGTCGAATCGCTGGAGCCCCAGAGCATACACTGGAATCGTACACTACTGGATATCAGAAAAGACAGCGACGAGTTGTACAAGCTACGCTTCTCGGACGGCTCAGAAGAACAGTGCGAATATCTGATTGGAGCTGATGGTTGTTGGTCGAAGGTACGCGACTTGCTTCTCAAGGTCCCGATACTGTATGGTGACCTCGGCTTCCTCGGTTGCCCCCTAGCTCTCCATTACACATCATTTGTCGACCGAGGAAGGCAACACAGGTTCTCCCAAAAGCTCCCTGGATCCCGTGTTACACAGGTTGCGCCTTCATTGATGATCACAATTAAAAAACAATACGAAATGCAGTTGTGGCGTTAACTACCACCACAATGGGTTCCACGAGTCTCTAGTCTTGCAATGGTGATTATCAAAATTCGTTTTTGGTTTCCATTTGGCTACAAGCACGTCGTTTCCACGACGTATGTTGGAAGACTCTTATCTCGTACATGTGCAATGTACACATTGGCAGCTCGAGTATACAAGGACACAGGGGCATACCAAGACTGGTCAAAATACGGGAGTTTCCGGTGTATGGTAACCACAGCTCACACAGATACTCCTTTGTGCCATACATACAGTCTTGGAGGCATGTATATCACGTGACCCTGGATATTATGTATACCAACTACTGTCCTGGGGCTTCAAAAAACCCTGAAGAAAATCTACAATTGGATCCGTTGTATTTTAAATGAGTGAGATCTTAAGTTCGGCAACTCAAGAAAATCATAACCAACAGCGTATGTATTTCAAAGTCTGTCTGAAGCCGAGGTGTTCTCGGAGACACGACATTTGGCTGTACATCATTTGAAGATACAGCATCGGATATAGATCACACAGCAGTGTACAGAAAAGCCAAATTTGACAACTTATGGAACCGAGAAGCCTCGTTTGTCTATGCAATGGTCCAAAACACGAATTCTTGACAGAAGATTCCAAGTCTTCCTTGGTTAATCCGATATGCTTCCACAAAGTCCAAGGGGCAATACGTTATCAAGAGTTACAACTGCATAGTATTACACCTTCAATCAATTCTCATCAAGTTCTTGCCATACAATATACCACTCCTTAAGTTTTGCTTTTTACTATACCTAAGAACTCCTTTTCGTAGTCAAAATCCATCACTGCAGACAAGTTCTTGCTTCTCACAGTGTCCTCGCATAACATCCGAGTACAGCTATGATACGATCAAAGACATGGAGGGCAATCCATTTCAGAGGAGTCGATAGTTCATTGTTATGTAAGTGCTTACAACCCCTCATCTATACTCTGCTAACACATTGCATAAGTCAACAAATTTGGCTACAGTAGAAGATTATCCCAAATTTCTTCGATCCAGGCTCCACGGCTCGGCTCTTCTAGCGAGACGACTCATATCAGACACATACAATCGAAATTGGCAGAGAACGGAATAGTGAAAATAAGCCTAGGCTTCCCTGACAGCAAGAGCGAATATTTGGAACGATTGATTCGGAATTTGCATCAATATCACGGACATGGGCTTCCCATAGATCACAGTGCATCGAGAGGGTGGTTTTGGGATGTTCGCCCAACTGCTACAACAACGAAGAAAGAACTTCCCTCAATCGCATCTTCCCATAGTTCGTCACCCCAAGCAAGATCTGAGACTAGAGAAGCTTTTCCATGGCATACAGACTGCAGTTATGAGGAGAACCCACCCCGGTATTTTGCACTCCAGGTCCTGCAGCATGATCGATGTAATGGCGGCACCACGAGTGTGCTTCAAGTCGACCAGATCGTGAAATATCTATCGTCTTCAACACTCGCCAGTCTTTCGAAGCCCGAGTTTGCCATAAAGGTCCCGCCAGAGTTCATCAAGAAAAGTGATGAAAGAGAAATTGTTGGCAGTCTTCTAGATATCAGCGGTCAAAACCCAGGCACAATGTCTGCACAACTACGTTTCCGAGAGGATATTATATTTCCCTTGACAAATGAAGCATCTTCGGCTTTGAACGAATTCAGTAGCGTTCTCCATGGCCCCGAAATCAAAGGCGAAATTGTTCAGTTGACACCGGAAATCTTGCCAAGGGGTTCTGTTGTTTTGATAGATAATAGAAGGTGGTTGCACGCTAGAAAGTATGCATCTCCAATCGCTCAGCTGGTAGTCATGAGGTGTTTCACTAACATGGAGAACAGTGAAGTGAACGATCCGGAGCGCCACCTCAGGAGAGTCAGATGGGATGCTACGCCCTTTCCGAGTATTGCCGAACTCCAACCAAATCATGCCGTCGTTAACGCCTGAAGAGTTTTATTAAGGTATGCAGTAGTGGTTTTTCTGGTAGCAGGGTATAATAATGATGGTCAAGATATGTCTGTTATGGTAGTTTTATTCATTTTGTGGTTTAATCAAAGATGGAGTATTACAATGGAAAGCCGATTGAGGAATTTAAGAAAACTTACCCTGCGTCATTGTTTTCAAGAAACTTGACGCTTCTCTTTCGCCCGTGTATTCATCTCACTCGATCACAAGCTGCCGATCAGCACAGAAAAATAACGCCTCGTACACTAATATGTTCCACAACGTGCTACCCACTCGCGAAAAACTTCAAATCACTTCGTCCCAAGATAGGCTGACAGTAAAGGAAACCGGAAAGCGAAATGACAACCCGGCTGGATCCACGAGTTTTATCGTATTGATGTCCTTGAGGGCCACAAGGACAGTTGAAATTCCCGATCACCTAGTGTCAGCTTATGTAGCAAGCAAGCGCGCACTGCCTCTTTTTCTGTTCCATTTTCTTCTCTTTCAACCTTTTGCACTTTCTTTCATTTGTTTTTATCTTGTAGCCTTTCCTCAGTATGGCAAGCTCGAGTTCCACAGACAAACACGCCCCAACCGAGAATACACCTTTGATACAACCCCAAAATGATTACCAGTCACATATACTGCCTCGTAAAAGACTTCTCATCGTCTTTCCAGCTCTCGCACTAGTACACTTTACCTCATTCTTGGACCAAACCGCTATAACTACTTCAATACCAGCAATAGCTGCTGGCTTGAAGACCGGTCCATCGACGTCCTGGATTGGTGCCAGTTTTCTCATGACAAGTGTGAGCATTCAACTTATCAACGGTCGCTTTTCAGATATCTTTGGTCGAAAGCCATGTCTCATCACCGCATTGCTCGTTATGGGGCTTGGAAACCTGCTATCAGGCTTCGCAAGAACTCCCGCAGTCTTGTACATCACGCGAGCCTTTAGTGGATTTGGAGCAGGTGCTCTTAACGGTCTTATCCAGATCACAATATCGGACATCACTGCTCTGGAACACAGAGGATATTATTTCGGCATAATGGGTATCGCCGTTGCGTTTGGAAATGGACTTGGTCCTGTGGTTGGCGGTGCTCTGACTCAGAATACCTCTTGGAGATGGGCTTTTTGGTTTATCTGCCCGTTGACTGCCCTTGCGGTTGCCTACCTGTGGCTCGTACTTCCACAGTCAGAGTCCCCCGAAAACGTTTTGAAAAAAATAAGAAGTGTCGATTGGTTGGGAGTTGTCACTAATATGACCGCTATCTGCTTAATACTGGTGTGTTTCCACAATCTATTCGATTTGTTGAAATCTAACTTCGTCAAAAACAGATTCCCTTATCAAGAGGTGGCACACCAGACGTATGGAAATCAAAAACAAACATCATAATGCTTGTGGCAGGATGTTTGTTATTCTGTGTATTCATATTTCTAGAATTTCGCGTGGTGAAATTCCCTATAGTACCAAGTCAGTAAACTTCCCACCCCACTCAAATGACATAAGATTTGAACTTACTTATTGCAACTGACAGAGCGTCTCTTCACATACGGCCGTTCGACCAACATCCTCTTAGCAATGAACCTATTCATCGGCTGGCTATTCTGGGGAAACCTCTTCTTCATTCCATTATACCTGCAATCAGTTAGGGGGTGGAGTCCAACAATGGCTGGATTGTTTATACTGCCACTGGTTATTGCTCATGGTATGTAACCCCTTTCCTCGTCACTCGTCCTATCTATTTTGGGCGGCAGGACGAGTCCATACTCTAATCCATTTCCTGAACGAGAGAACGTTCGTTAACAACTCCCAGGCATCACCTCTGGACTAAGCGGCATAATAATCTCCCGTCTCGGCCACTACGTCTCGGTAATCTCAGTAGGAACCGCACTCTGGGCCCTAGGCGCCGGCGCAAAAGTGACATATCACCGAACCACACCAATATGGCAAATCCTCACATTCGGGGTATTCGAAGGGGTAGGTGTTGGAGTATGTCTCCAACCCGGTAAGCCGTCTTGTTACCATTCTTCCCTAAACCCAACTCCAGTCAGTCTATGTGCATGTGAGTCTGGTTCTGACGAAGCTCGCTAGTCCTCGTCGGCATACTCGCAGGATCCGATAAAATCGATCGCGCTGGTATAACCAGTGTTAGGAACTTCCTGCGTGATATCGGGGCTGCTACTGGAATCACTGGTAAGTTCGAGAAAACACTCCATTCAATCATCTCCAAAAGGCTAGGGAGGGGACTAAACAAGTATACACACACACATACCCAACACTAACCCCCACCCCAAGTATCCGGCGCAATCCTCAACACCATCCTCCAAAACGGGCTCCAGCACCGCTTCACCCCCGAATTCATATCCGAGATAACATCCTCCATCGGCAAACTCTCTCAGTTACACCTCACGCCCGAAGATCGGGAGCTTATTTCGAGGGTATATATGGAGGGTATACATGGAGTGTTTATGTCGTTCGCGGTGCTAGCTGTGGTTTTGTTTGTGGTGACGTTTTTGATTGAGGATTATGGATTGAGAAGTAGGGATGAGGTTTTGGAGGAGGTTGAGTGAGGTGGGTTGGGGATGGGGTATATAGTATATGCCGAACTTGTCTTGCGACGTATCACCACGGAGAGGGATTGAGAATGTGGTATATAGTATGTGCAGAATCCACCTTCCTACGCATCTGTGCTATAGTAACGCCTAAATATGTGTTTTGGTTAATTAGACTATTACAACCGCCGTACTATAGATTTAAGGACTAATATTATAGCAGTAGCAAATATAATAATCCATTCTATAATATCCTTTTGTTATATCTTAGGAGTTGTGAGAGGCCAGACCTCGAATAGCTCAAAGGTGTGGTTTCGAATATTCAATTAAGAAGTGCGTGAAGACTACATACATGCAATCTCTTCCTCTATATATAGAGAGAGGAAGAGTTTCTGGAGTCTTCCAAGAAACTGTTTGACAAATACGTGACGTCAAAAGAATAGAGTAGAAAAGTGTAGAAAAGGAGAAACCAATTTAGCAGTGGAGCAATGGCCAATGCTGAGCGGGGACTTTGGTCAGTGCTTAGCGAGGGCATGGCCCGTGCCTCCATCATGGGTTCCAACCCTCACAGGAGTGTATAGAAAGAGTAGGCTAGTAGGTCTAGAATAAGAAATAAGGAATAGAATATAGGCTGTTAATACTACAACAACTACTAATTTATATAAAGGACTATACTCCCTAGCCCTCCCCTCTTTCCTAGTACCCTAATACATCTACTCTTATCTAATATAGACGCTACCGACCCGACTATGTCGCCTTTACTAAAAAAGCACGTAGTAATACAAGTAACGAGAGCTAATACGAACGTAAACCAAAGGCAAAAAAGTCGTATTTTAGAATAGCTTTACTTTTTAGTTAGGTATAGAAAAATTACGAGGAGTTATTATTTTATACTTCAAAATTACTAGATTACTTTATTTACTTTCTAGGCGAGGGGTGTACTTTAATTAAAAACTAGCTTTTATTATTAATTTAAAAGACGAATAATTCGCGTACAAGAATTAATTAAATAATACTATCTAATCTATCATACGTACTAATTAATCAAATGATCGTAGTATTAATTAATTAGACGAAATCACGGTTACAATAGCACACATCAATAGAGAGAATGAAGGAGAACCTGGGCATGGGATTGAATTTGTGGGATACGTCTGTTTTCTTTGTGTTATATAGATCTAGTATTAACGAGATTGAAAATTGGGGAAATGCTCCGTATCATTGGAGTATTAGGAAATGAATTATCTAATTACAATAAAGTAAATAACATTAAAAGAATATACAATCAACTTAACGCCTAAACCAACCCAAAAACTCCCATACCTATGCCATAACATCCGGATGAACAGTTCTCTCTCCAAAAGTAGGGAACTTAGAAATATCCTCAGCCTTCTTCACAACCTGATCCGCAACCTCGAATTCCAACCCCTCGACCTCATCAACCACACACCCATCAAGTTTCACCACCTCCCACTTCAACTTCCCCTTCAAGTGACCAATCACCGCCGAGACATCATCAGGATCAACACCCTCCAAGGCAGTCCCAAGATTGAACTGACCATGCGTAACTCTATACGCACCAGCCTCGCGTTCGACAGTTCCGGGAACTGAGAGGATACTCAGACTTCCGACGTGGATATCGCACATGGATATCTTGACGGAGAAAGCTTGGTCGACGGCCCCGTTGGGGACTTTGACGGATATACTCCATGCGTGGGTTTCGTTGGTTTTGTCGGTGATGTTGGAGGGGATGCGTATGGATCTCTTAGTACTGCTACGGAATGCACCGAAGGAGCCGTTGGGGTTATAAAGTTGATTGACCTGGGTGGTGACATTTGCCTTAAGCGAGGCTGGGTCGCTGAATAGCCAGTCCTTGACATCGGGGTATGAGTAGCCAAAATCTTGAAGGTTAGTTAGAAAAGATGTTCATCCCGGCAAGGTCCACACAGATCGAGCATATAGAACTGGGAAGGGGATTGGTACGTACTTTTGGTATATCTGGCAGTAATCGATGTATACATGGTTATGCCGTCGCCCATCGTGAATGGGGTTAGTGGTGTTAACTCACCAACTATGGAGTTGGGGAGGATAGTCCATGTTCCACTGGGAGATCGCACGTTCGTCAACCATGCGTCTGGGTAGATTGCTTGCCACATTGCAACTTGACGATCGACATTGGCATGGTGGAGCCAACTATAAATTGTTAGATCAAACAGATCAAGCGGAACAATATTGCACCATTATCGTTCATTCTTCGCTGCTTGCAGGAGGTTCTGGTTCTGGATTGTTTGGAATAATCCTGATTTAAGGGGCCATGAAGGATTACTTACAAAGTAGGCTCAAACCCAGACCAAGCCACTTGCGTCATGTGCCCATCGCCTCCAACTAACGTATGAATCTCACCATGAGGAGTTTCGAAATTTGGTCTAAAACAATTAGTCGTGTGTCCTCTGCTCAGAGAGAAAGAAGATGAGGCGAAGACAAAGATTTCACTAAACCACCTGGGCTACAAATCAAGATATTGGAATAAAAGGAGAAGACACATACCCGCCATTTCCACTGGTTGACATACTATTAAAGTCCCGAGTCTGGGCAAATACATCCCACTTTCAAAGTGTCGGCATTAGTACGAGCAGAAATCAAGGGGGTGAAAATAATTCCGTGCAAACTCACCACTTGATTAGCGAGAAAGGAATTTTCCTCGGCAAGCGCTTGATCAGTTGCTTCGTCATGCTGTACGCCGTTCGCATCTGGATGTCTCAGTGTCGTGGGTTTTGCAGCTATTGGATCATTCGCCGGGAACCATTCCGTGGGTTCGGGGCGCTGAAGGAACTTGTAGTTGAATAGAGGGTTGTTGACAGTTGCTGTACCGTTGGGTGTTGTGATCTGAACTGCATCAAATTAGATATTTCTCGTCAAGGAATTTACCAATTGGATGGGTACTAAATGGTAGGGAGAAATGCAACAAGGAAATTATGTCTACTTACCAGTAGGCGATTTCATGATCGTAGGAAAGCGGCTTCCAGGAATGGCCCAGTCCCAAAAAGGCATTCGCAGATTATCAGCTGCGGTTTGGTATTCTGCAGATTTGTATGTCTTTGCAATTGTCTGTGCGTGTCCAGCCAGAACTTGCTGTGGGAAAATTAGATTGCTAAACTGTAAATAACATTACTGCATTAAACAACGCTTACCTCGTAAAGAGCAAGGTACGGCCTATGCCAGGTCGCGAAAAGGGTATTCCCATGAGTGCAGTAGCCGGTGCGAATACCATTATTGGAAGTTGCTGGATTCACATCGTCCCATGGGATATATGGTCTACCATGAATACCTGAAAGTTGAAAATAAGACGTCAAGTTGTGTTCATCTACATTCATCATAGCATTCAAAGCTTGAATGTACAAAGAGCTGGTTGGTCAGTAACGAAGCTGAAGGATTAAGAGGAAATGTACATACAATTGAGGTTTATCCAAGGCCAACTCGTTTATCTCCCTACGGGGAGGTCTATATCCGGTTGTGGCATCTACTCCAGTGTGAACGCCAGTGATGGCATATTTTGCAATAACAACATCGAAAAAGAAGCTTGAGACTACAGCCAACGCAGAGGCAGAAATCTTGGAAAAGAGCATTTTGGACAAGAAACGAACACTGCCACTCTAGTGGACAGTGGAGAAAACATCATGATATCCCATTATCTTATAGAGAACCATTCATCCCGCCAAGAGGAGATTCCTATTCCCGTTCTCCTAAAGAAAGGATACGACGATGTCGTGAATATTATGTGGTCATTATTGGGTGCAGATGCTGATGATCGGATACGAGGGTATTGAAATTATGATCACCAAGTCACCGCCCAGAATACACCCAACCGAGCAGAGATAATCTGCACCAGTCCGTAGGATTCGTCGCACAAGAACAAACGCTAGGTATAAAACTCCGATCCTCCCCAATCATATTAACAACATGGGTTGACATTTCGATGAGGCTGACATGAGAAAACAGGAAAGCATTTACCGGGGTAGCACCAGCCAGCCTCTGATGGAATTTGACCTGTTCCAGACGACAAAGGGGCCAGAAAGATATGCACTCGATGTGGATATATGTGGATACAATAAATGGGTCGAAGTGAGGCTCAAATGCTTGGGAACGCGACCTGGTTGGCATTGTTCGACGGGGAAAAGTCGAGAAAATGGACATCCTTTTTGCACTCAGAAGTTCATCTCTTTTTGGCCCCTTTTTTTCGTCTAGACTCTGGAAGGGATAGAGACCGGTGAACGATGCATATAACGGTGCGAATCATGGAACCCTCGTGGCCCGAATTGAGCTTACCGAGAGTGACAGTCGGGAGGCTTTCCACCCAAGGCTGTGATGAAATAAACGCTATGAATATATGCAAAATCGACATCAAAGCCAATAGAAAAATCCATTCTAACTCGAAAAAGCCACCAAAAAAGAAGATACACGGAGTAACGTAACTACAGAAAACATGAACTTCCAATGTGGAGGACGTAAGGAAAGGAGTACTGGTCCATGAATGTCCCGATGTAGCACTGCAGGAGTCTCATTTGGCAAGTTGAAGAAAACGAGCTGCGTGGCGTGAGACGCGCATTGCATCAACAAACATCATCTCCAAATAGCAGCACGACCCGAGAAAATCATGGTCAGAGGCGAGCCGACTTGTAGGAATATGACAACCGTGATTAGCGGTGGAACAGTTACTGCTGAGAACGCCTTTAAATGTGAAGAATGGAGAGGATGAAATAGGTAAGGTTAATCTATCCGAGGTTGGATGAGGTGAGATTATACGGTCTCGACGGTATGGTCCTGGTGGCCTGAGGTTAGGTATAATGTCATGTTACTTGATAAAAAAAACTATCAATGAAATAAGTAATAAATAGTATGATAGAATAGTAAAGTAAAGTAAAAAGAGATATTCTCTTATACTATTAATATAAACCCCTTACTCTACTCTACTTACTCTTGTACCTTTGTTATCTAAGGGAATAAAAAGGTAATATACCCTTACAAGTCGAACAACAAGAAGGGGACCAGATCTTCTACTTTACTTTATAATCCCCATGCATGCTCTACCATGTAACCACTCAACACACCATCGTGTCACTAATCATCTAATCCAGCAAAGCAAGAAAAACAAAGACTATCCATACACCACGCACCCTCATTCAACTCATTCCCTCATTCCCTCATTCCCTCATTCAAACTCTCTATCCACACTCTCAAAGTTATCCAAGAAGCCCTTGAAAATCCCAACACCCAAACCAGGATCCAAGCTTCCGGTGGTTGCACGAATAGAATGCATACTCAACTGCGGCAGACCGGCGTCGATGGAGCGGACGCCCATGGCGGAACTGAGCATAGGGCCGACGGTTCCGCCACTTCGACTGTCGTTTCGGATCATGAATAGTTGGAGAGTGTTTGAGCTATGGCATGGTAAGTGGTGTGTTAAGAATGATGAAGGGAAGGGAGAGATGCTCACGTTTTCTCGGCAACTCGGGTGAGGAGTGCGGTTGAGACGGAATCGGTTGTCATATGTCCGTTGGAATCGGCTGCGACAACTAGACCGACGTTTAATCGTGGAGAGTGTCCTTCAAGGTATGATCCCAGGAAATCTGGCGTCGATTAGCATCATTTCTTAGTCTTCTTTTTTCTTCCTCTCTTTTTGGGAGTAGAATGTATTAACTTACTTGGATGAACAGCATGAGTTACATCAGCGCTGACTAAAAATGAATTGGCATATACCTGGTTCAACACATTGGCGCTATATCCATTGCCAGAAAAGGATTCGGCGATTCTTTCCACAGTGCTTGGTAGGAAGTTACCCTTAGCACCTTGTCGCAACAGACTTCCAATCTCTTCATCATCAAAGACACCGACCAACTTTACGATTCTATCATCAGTGGGATGATGAGAGTATGAGGAAGCCAGCAAGCCTTCCATGGCAGCCCATGAGCAAAGCTTGTCATCGATTCGTCCAGCGAAAATGAACTCTTTATCCAGACCACCGACTTGGGCAGGTTGAATATCGAATAATTCCAGTTCCCAGTTCACAATTGATGAGTAGTCTTGAATACCAAGCTCTCCAGCAATGGCTCGAACAAGCTTTGGGGGTTGTGTAGAAGAAAATGTTCCTGGGCCACCAAGAGTCAAGTTGGCAAATTCGTCTTTCATTTCAGCCTCTGAATTGTCAAGTCCAATGATAGGAACCATCTGAGTTTCCTTGTTTCCAGTTCCTGTCATTCCTTGTCCTGAAAAATGTTAGAAGTTGTTACTCCTGGGCTGTACGAATTTGCTTACCGAAGTGGGGCGCAATTGTTGGTATACGGGCAATTGGCCATCCCAACTTGACAAGTTTGGTTGTAATCTTTCCATCGGAACCTTTCACCAACACACGACCTCCAATGGAAAGATCACGATCCCACCAAGTACTGTTCAGAGCACCAGCATAAGGAGCGACTCCCAACTGGACGTATCCAGCTGTCGTCTTTTTTGTGCTGACGGGCTTTAGACGTGCGGTCAACGCATCAACGTGGCCCGCTATCATAGCAACTCCATCTGTAGAATATAAGCTGATATTCATACATTTGGCAATATCCTAGACTTACTGCCAGACTTGTAATCTTTTCCAACCGTGAAAGCAATCAAACTAGTTCCATTTCTGGAAACATAGTATTTTCCTCCAGTTTTCAACTCCGAGTTCCATGTTTTTCTTTCGGACAGCTAGAAGCAATATTAGTATTCTTGTATATCTCTCGTCATCATATGTCGTACCTTCTCGAATCCAGCAACCGTGAGCTTCTTCTCAAAATAATCCACAGCATGCCAGACAGTAGGATTTTCCGTCAAAAAGTCACAGAATGGTTGTGTATATTCCTCCGGAGATTTCAACGGGCTCTTGTGAGCCAAATGAGGCGGCAATCGATATGTAGAGGCATTTCCCGCTGCGGACCTAGCCTGCTGAGCCATAAGCTCCCTCTGCTTGACAACCGTCGTGGCAATCTTTCTCCCCATCTCCGCGTCCACCGTCTGAAGCTTTCCCGGAGGTAAAGACGTTGAGGGGTCTGAGTTGGTAAAGACAGGCATCCCAAATTCGTTCCTGTAGACCCCGAAGGTCCCGTTGGCGCGCTTATACATCACCGGTCGCTCCTCTGGCAAAACACCTGCTTCACAAACATCATATCCATGCTCCTTATTTTGGGGATCCTTCCAGCGAGCGATGCGACCATCAGGCAGGACGATGGGGGCGGGGATTCGAAGTTCGGACTCGTGGGTGTTGGGTTTGGCTTCTGCGGTCAGCTTGGAGACTTGTGCTTCGAGTTCGGCGATGCGCGCTTGGGCTGCGTGGTCGATAGGAGGACTACAGAGCGAGTAGGTGCTCATGCTGTTACGCAGAGAGTTGCCATTGTTCTTGACCATCGTGGGAGAGGGGGGGTGGTGGTGTTGGGGTGGTACTCGGGATCGCTATCGCCTTGGTTGGTGTAGGTATTGCAGGAGTACGTATCGGTATCTACGAGTCTATGTCTCTGTCTCTAGCACTCTAGGAAAAGAAAAGAGAGCAAAGTAACGAAAACAATGCATATGGAATGGTAAGGGAGACGGTGATGCGGTATGAGGTGAGGGAGATGAGAGCTGCCACTGCTATCATGTCCAACGCAGCACTGCACAGCCAGCATCAGCAACCTCGGGATGTTGATCCCTTCTTGGCAATCAACAACCGACAACAACAACATCCACACTTCGTGATAAGGATATCAACATCTGGCTAGAGAACGAACGTGAAAATCGACGCCACCACGAGGCAGCCCACGTGTTCGTAGACTTGCAGTGTTTGTGACATCTTACTGTACCCAACATGTTCAATGTGTTGTGCTCATACGCCTCGCATATGTACAGTAGCTGGGTGTGGGTGCATTGCATTGCCGTTGTGCTTGGTGTGACTCTGTACAAGGTGGCTGCATACTTTGCAGCAGCATTTAATATAGTAGGTATGGTTGGCAGCGACCTCTTTCTTGCATCTTACTTTGTCCCTACTAGGTTTCTCATCTTCCGTCCTCTTCTTATGGCCTCTCCATGCTTTGAACGGAACAAATGTTAGCTTTAGGCTACTCGCTACTCGCTGCTGTACCCCGCTATTAAGATACCTGGTCATACTCTCTCTATACACGCTATAAAAAGTTATCATACTAAAAGTCTAGTATAAGTATCTCAATTATCCAATTCACCTAAGTTAATAAGAAGTGAAAAGTGACTGTTACTCGTATTTTAATCTATTCTTATAATTATTTTAGTTATGTAAGGTCTTCAGGATAGTAACACTGCATATAAGTTAGTATACAGAGTAATAACTACTTGTCTTCTAAGTCTACCCTGGCTAAGTACAACTAGTTCATAGGACTATAGGGCTATAAGTTAGAGAAAGGGTCGCCACTCTCTATACTTGTTTTCGAAAAAGATTATTCCAAAAGCCTCATAAAACTGAAATATCTATAAAAGGTTAAGACTAATAATTACCACCTACTTTTATTAACCTGGGGATACTAATACAATTGATTCACTTGAGCTAGAAGTTTAGTCTAATAAAATTGTGTACAGTATGCACGGAGTAATGACCAGATATTTTATCACTGTTCCTTGTTTCCGATCTACCCCGCTCACATCTCTTTACATTGCAAAACTAATACCCTATGAACAACCCAAGAAAATTGTTTTATTCATCTAGCACCCGCTAGTTAACTTTTCCCTACTCGTATCCCCTTCCCCTTCCCCTTCCTCCACAAAAAAGCATCTCTCAATACCCTCCCTCCCCACAAAATCCCAAAAACCTACCACTCCCTCCGTTGAATAGCCTGCGGAGCCTTATATCGATTTCTATCTCCAATCAGCATCCATCCATCCATCCATCCCTCCATCCTCCACCAAACGCCAAACACCACACATAACACCAACAACAAAATCAAACTTAAAAATAAACTTACGGATCATACTCCCCCGCCCTCTGCCCCCTAACATAATGCTCATCATACATATGCTCCACATTCTCGCTCGCATGTCTCTTCGCCTTCTCACGATCAATGTAATCCAATCCCTTGGTCTCAGCCAACTTATCGACTTCTGCTCCTGCAAAGCCGGCGAGGAGTTCTTTTGCGAAGGCGTGAGAGACGGGTTTGCCTACACAAAACATAAAAAGTGTTAGTGAAAAGAAAAGGATTTTGTGGAGGGGGTGAGAGTGAGGGCGAGTTTGAGGGGAGGGGACACACCTTCAGCACGTTGACGATCCTCAAAGACTTTGAAGGCTCCGAAGGATGCGGCGCCTGCTAGGAGTTCGTGCCCGAAGCTGGATTCGTTGTGGGTTTCTTGGTCGGAGTATTGTCTGTGGGCATCTTGGGCTTCGTCTGGGAAGGTATTAGTATGTATATCTTGTTTGCACCTTATTATATTGGCATAAAACTTACTCCATCCGAAAGGCATCTTGATGGATTCAGGTATTTCCAAAAGTTTCAAACGTTGAGAAGATTGAATGAGTAGTAGAGATGAAGAGAGTGTTGATGTATAGTATCCCAAGAGTCCGTGAAGAGAGGGGTAGATGAGGGTTTTATATGTATGTCAGCTCAGCCCAGGCTTCATCCATGTGAAGATGTACATATTCTTATTAACTAACAGACCCATCTCACTCGGCAACGACGGCATGGACATATACATCCCACTAATGCACAACGATTCATCCATTATATCACACATGCACTATCACCTCCACCGAGGGGCCCCCGTGCCGTCATCCTCCTAGTCACCGCTTGCGTGGCCTGGAATGGAATGGGTCTCTTTTTCAGCTCGAATTCTCTCCTTTGATCAGTTCCATGAACAGAGCATGTTTGAACGGCAAGGGAAGTATCTTGTATGGTACTGGGAGAAAGGTGATATAGGGATTAGTGGATTGGTGGATTACTGGAGGAGTATGTGAAAAGCTTCTAATATGACATTAATCAATCAGCCCACCGCCCCGTCCCGTCTTCCGACTCCAACTCCGGCATAGTTTAATAATTATGCTGTTACTAACTTACTACCACCTCATTCAACATCTCTCCTACAACGTCGGAAACAAAGAGACACTCACCGCACTGAATAATTCCAATCCTCTCCAAGTATCAATATCTACACTTTGATAGAGCGTTGTCAGTCCAACCAGCTGGTCCAGTTCTCGACCCATCCCATCCCATCCCGGCGATTTCAAAAACTTGGCACTCAGGTCCCAATGCTTGTTTTAACATGCAATATGCACTCATACCGCTACTAAATGAGGGGTCGAAAGCTCACCTAGCATGCATGCGAGACCCCCTCACTCCTCCGAATATCTTCGTGAGGATACCTTGTAGAAGGTGAAGTACTGTATGTCGAAGGTTTTGGAGTGGAGTTTTTACGATAGGTGAGAAGAGATGGATTTTAGGGGAGAGTGAATTGAAAATGATTTGATTTCACAACGACGTTGCTACAGTATCCTGGTCTACAAAGCTTCACCTTGTACTGTATTAATTCACCCCTCAACCCCGTCCACCGAGGCTCTTGGCCGTCGATCAGGAAAGCTTGTTTCCACATACTGTACCTACTCCCGATTCGCAAACCACAACACCACACTCCCTCACTCCCTGCATGGGAAAAAAACTGGGCGGACATCACGAGAAACATCACGTTTCCCTCCAACATTGGATTCCCCCATCCACCAAACCTTCACAAACGACCCGACCTACCAATAAAAATCTCACCACCCCACCAAAACAAAAAGAAAGAAAGCCAAAAAAAAAATACAATGCCCCGCCTCCCAACCCCCACAGACTTCCCCCCTGCCCTCCACCTAGACATCATCCCCCCCAGGAGCGGCCCACCAATAAACATCCTCATCCTCCTCCACGGCCTAGGCGACACCAAAACCCCCTTCACATCCCTAAGTCGCTCTCTAAACCTGCCCGAAACAGCCTGTTTAGCAATCCAAGGACTTCATCCCATACCCCAAATCTTCACAGGTTCGGAGGTTCCTTCATTTCATTGGGGAGATGACGTCTTAATCGACGAAGCAAAAGGGGAGATAGAAATGGATTCCGGTTTTGAAAAGACGAGGGAGGTATTGGGGGACGTGGTGAGGAGGTTAATGGAAGGATGCGGATTCCCGGCGAAGAATATACTGTTTTATGGCTTTGGACAGGGTGGGATGGCTGCCTTATCACTTATCTCCTCATCCTCCTCCTCATCATCCTCTTTACCAGCATTCTCAACCCTCGAATTCGGAGGTCTAATCTCAATCGGTGGTCGTCTTCCCTCCTCCTCTTTCCCTACCACATCAACATCATCACCAAACACCACAACCAAAATCAAAACTCCAATTCTGGTTTGTGGAGCCAGCAACAGCACACAGATCACACGCCAAGCGATTGACGGCTTGAAAGAAAGGTTTGGAAGCGTGGAGTATGTTAAGTGGGACAAACGGGGGGATTCCATGCCTGGGAGTAGGGAGGAGATGGTGCCTGTTATGAGGTTTTTTGCGAGGAGGTTGAGGAGTCGACAGGGTGTGCCGGAGGGGGCTGTGGAGATTTAGGGGGTGATGGTGGGGGGAGGAGAGAGGGATGGATGGATGGTGGATGGATGGATGGATGATACCCAGTGTCCTTTTTCTAGAAGATTCGAAGAGAGAATGGTGATGTGGAGTTGGATTTTGCAATTGAAAAGTAGGGGGTACTCGTAGGGAAGCATTTGTTGAAAGGTATAGAGAGTGGAACCCATATTGCACTGCTTGAGGATCATCCTTTTGGGCCTTCTTATACGGATACATAACATCAGAGGAGTGCAGAAATCCACAATCACACATAATACTCAGCAGCATTAAGTTGATTCTGGTGGTTCATGTTGTAAATCTTACTATTGCAACACGGATTTTATGGCTATCTACCTGCGAGTCTGTTCTACCGCAGCTACCGACTTCATCTCTTCTATCTCGACTGCACTATTAATTTCTTCGGATTTCAACGCCATATCCTCTCCAGGCTGTTTTTCCTCCTGAGCTTCTGACGCAGCACCTTCTATCTCTGTCGTCTCGTTCGCCTTCAGCGCTGCAGCTGCTGCGGCCTCTCTTTCCTTATGAGCTTGTTTCTCCGCTCTCCTCTGTTGCCTCTTACTCATTCCAATAATTGCGTGTCCCTTATCAGCCTCCCCATCCTTTTTCTCAACATGCCACTTTAACTTGGCGTTGGCTTCATCTTCCGCCGACCACTCCCGTGGGAGAATTGCAAAGACCAGATAACTGGTATGCGCTTTCAACTCCTGTTCTACCCGATGGACCAGATTCCCTTCTTTATAAATCTTCCTCTCAATCAAGCCTTCCAGAATCTTTTGTTTGTTATTGGGATTCGGCTTGTCCCTCTTTTTAATCTCGGACTTTTCTCCTGTAGCGTGAAATGCTTTAAATGTCCCTTCAACGTCGACTAGACGAGCGACTGCTTCGTTGACATTGGCAGGTGTGGCTAATAGACCATGTTGGTTTCCATTATCAATTCCAATACGGTCTCGTCGAATCTCAAATCGCATGTGAGCAACCTCCACCATTTCAATATCGATCCACCCCAGTCTCCGCATGACAGAAATGGTTTTCTGGACCTGTTCGATACATGGCGAGAATGTACATATGTGGACAGGAGAGCAAGGATCTAGTGCTGAAATATAGGGTGCAAATTCCTCTTGCATCTCAACGTCGCCATTTGGTGCTTCTACGGATACGTCTTCGAGTGTTTTAGGTGGTGGTGATCGAGCCAGGTGTGGGAGCGCTAGCCAAGGTGCCGGTAAGTCCAGGAAAATTGAATTCGCCTTGGGACTTTCTCCATTTACCAGAAAGCCATTTTCACATACGTCGCGATGTGTGATTTGTACCACTCCTTCCATTCCATGATCCTGCAATTCTTTCACCAATTTCTCATGCCTCTGCTCATGAAACTCAAAACTCCATACCTTACCAAGCTTTCGCCTCTTGTTGGTTGCGTTGCCAGGGTATCCACTAAAGACTGCTCTGGCTGATGCGTGAGTGAAAGAGCCACTTCCCGCACCGGCTTCGATAAGATTTACACCTGGTCTGGCTTGTATTCGGTGTAGCACGTAACTGTAATCGGGGGTGTATACAACTTGAGTTCGATGGGGTAACGAACTCGTCCAATTTTCGGGTGTCGGTGGTAACAGATGAATAAATCCAGTCGGTGCTGTCGAAGGAGTTGCTTCTTTCTTTGCCAGGGGCACATCGCCATTTTCTTGAACCTCATTCTTAGCCTCCACCGGCGTCTCGATAGCTTGCTCGGGTTCAACTTTCGCAATCTTTTCCACAGGGCCTGCAGTTTCCGTCACCTCATCTCGCTTTCGTTTCTTCTCGCGACCTCGAGATCCTGTATCGACCTTAGACGCGCGGACCTGTGAGCCCCATGGCAAGCCAATTAAGGTTGTGTGCGGAAATGAGCCAAATCGAGTATTTATCACCTTCCCCTCCGAGTACCCCTCGTTGTCGTCGTCGCGGTCCTTGAGGATGGTGGGCGTCTGAAGGTCGCGCTTGAGATGCACAATTGCTAAGCTTTCGGTCTTTGATAGAGACTCGGGATAGAGAAAAGGCGACACTCGAGAAGTCATTGTGGTGTTGTGGTTCTGAATGCGACAAAAGTCGAGGGAGCTCAGATCTTGCGCTTGATAAAATTTATGCCGAGCCGACAAGGCTGAGAGTTTTGGCAAACTGGCCCCGCGCCCGTCACACTGACTCTGATTCGCTGTGGCTGACCCCTGCAAACCTTCCCCATGACAAGGCCACGAACCGCAACTCGTCTTTGTATTCCGTACTGTACGGAAACGAGGGAGGAGCATTGCCCAGCCTGCTAGCAACCCCTCTCCTTTCCCCCTCCAGTGACTCAACCTTGTCATCCCCAGCCCCATCACCACCCACCCTCTTTTTCCCATCCGACCAGTGATAGAAATCCTTTGAATGCCACTATTCCCAAGTGCCATTCTCCAATCATCCTTTCGCAAAGTTAAACTCAAATCAGCGTTCGTTCCGCTCCGTCGCAACATGGCGACGGTGCAATTGAAAGTACACAATTCTCTGAAACCAGGGCCGGCAGTGCCCTTTATCCCCAAGGAAGAGGGAAAGGTCTCTTGGTATGCCTGTGGTCCAACAGTCTACGATCATTCCCATTTGGGACACGCCAGAAATTATGTTTCCACCGACATTATTCGGAGGATCATGCAAGATTACTTTGGTTTCAAGGTCAATTTTGTCATGAATATCACTGATGTGGATGATAAGGTAGAGTCCGTGGTCTGCGACCTGTTTGGCATGTCTAATATGGTTCCTAGATTATCATCAAGGCTAGAAGACAGCGATTGCTTGATTTGGAGAAGTCAAAAACATATACGGAATCCGAATTGGCCAAACTTGCAGCGACAGCATTTCAAAAATACGCAGAGGGCAACCTACCCGAACTCTTGAAGTCTTCAGATGGATCAGAACTTGGTCCCAGCAACTATGCGGCGAGGCGAGATCAGGCGTACGGGAAAGTTCTGTCTGGGGGCACATTAACCGGCGAAGGGAAGCCAGGCGACGCGGAAGCCAAAATGAAGATGCATCTCAACAACCTCACAACTGCCTCGACAGCCATTCTGGAAAATAAGGTCTTTGGAGGAGCGGATGAAATATTATTACCATATCTGGACTCGCTCTATAAAGACTCAATTGATGGAACCGACCACACAATATTTACAGATGTCACAAAATACTGGGAGGCTGATTTCATGGAAGATATGGATGCTTTGAATATTCTACGTCCAGATATTATCACGCGAGTCACGGATTATGTCCCTCAGATTGCAAAGTTTGTCGAGGCAATAGTCGCAAAGGGCTTTGCATACGAGGCGGATGGCTCAGTATATTTTGACATTGCTGCGTTTGAAAAGGCCGGAAATCCATACGCCAAATTGAGACCAGAAAGTCGAAATGACAAAGCTCTGCAGGAAGATGGCGAGGGATCTCTATCAAAGAACCTTGGAGGAAAACGGGGTGCTGGGGATTTTGCCCTCTGGAAGAAGTCAAAGCCTGGAGAGCCTGTTTGGGATAGTGTTTGGGGAGGAGGAAGACCAGGCTGGCACATAGAGTGCTCAGTTATGGCGTCTGATGTTTTGGGGTCCCAAATGGATATCCATTCTGGGGGTATTGATCTTGCTTTCCCACATCACGATAACGAGCTAGCACAATCCGAAGCCTATTTCTGTGAGCACGGTAAGGGCCCACACAACTGGGTCAACTACTTTTTGCACATGGGCCACCTTTCGATTGCTGGATCAAAAATGTCCAAGTCTCTAAAGAATTTCCAAACCATCAAGGACGCTTTAAAGACGGATTATACACCAAGAGGCATGAGGGTTGCCTTCTTGCTTGGTCGCTGGAATGATGGTGTTGAAATATCCCCTGATATGAGAACGATGGCCGAAAGTTGGGAAACCAGTATTAATGTAGGTCATACCCATAAATATGATCAAACAAAAATGATCCTAATCAAAAGCTAGAATTTCTTTGTAAATGTGAAGGCCTTGGTTGCGGAGTACAAACCAGAAGAGTCGCTAGCAAATCTTGCTCTAAGCGATCCAAAAAATGAGTTGGAAGAAAGCCTTGCCAAGGCTCAGAAAGAATTGGAGATTGCACTCACAGAATCTTTTGACACCCCACGAGCTATGCGTGTGTTGAATGAGTTGGTCAAGACCTCCAATATCCACCTTTCTGATACCACCGTCCAAACAAACGTGGAAGGTTTGAAAAAGGTTGGGCGTTGGGTTACAAAGATTGTGGGAATCTTGGGTCTGGATGCGAATGCTTCTGCTCCTTATGATGGTTTGGGATGGACAAGTGCCCTCTCCACCAGCAAACTGTCTCCAAAAGAAACTGCTGCGCCATTCGCTACTTCCTTCCAAAAGATCAAAGCCGAAGTTGAAAAACTAGGACTTCAATCAGAGACTCTTTCAGCTTTACTTACCAGCGATGTAGATGCCGGATTCGAGTCACTGGTCGCGGCTGGTACCAAGGACCCAGAAGCTCTTGTCATGCCATATCTTAGAGCCGTCTCAAAGACTCGGGATGAAATCAGAAAGGTTGCACCTCTTTCATCGTCCAAGAAGGAAGCCCTTGCACTTTCCGACCAAATCCGAGATGAAGATATGACCAATCTTGGTGTTTACCTAGATGATCGACCCGGAAGGGGCGCACTCATAAAATTCATTCCAAAAGAAGAGCTTCTAACCCAACGAGAAGAAAAGGCAGCCAAGGAACAAGCCAAGCTCGCGCAAAAGGAAGCCGCCAAGTTGGCATTACTGAAGCAGGAGCAAGAAAAAGCCGAAAAGGCGAAGCAGAGTCCCTTGGGCATGTTTCGAAATGAGAAGTTTAGTGCTTGGGATGTGGATGGACTACCGACGCATGCTAGTGATGGAAAGGAGGTTCCGAAGAGTGCGCTGAAGAAGATGAAGAAGGAATGGGATAGGCAGAAAAAAGCGAATGATGAGTGGAAGGCGAAGAATGGGGTTTAGTATAGAGGCTGTCAATTAAGTAGTATTTTAAGTCTTCATTCATTGCGTGTTTCTTGTTGGGAGTGTGGTATATCTGCCACTTCTTTGAATTCTCGGTTCTCTCCCTCTCCTTAGCGAGTTGTGGATTGTAATACTTCTCGACTAATTACTCGGCTTTGCTTGGTCGTCTCCAAATCATCGGGTATGTGGATGGGATAGAATGTTACCCTAAAGGAGGACGTCACTCCTATTCTCAGATAACGATACGACTTTTTTACAGGCAAGATATCACATCATTCCATGAATTCATAACAACAAGAGCCAATTCCCCCTTTAACTAAGACACAGCTAATCCCTAAATTCCTAATAGCGTAAGAATTGAGCTGAGGAGAATAAAGTAAGTACTACTACTCTCCTCTACTCGAGAGCGAACTACTCCTTCCCTCTCCTTCTCCCCTACAACTTCCCACCCACCCCCCT